GATTATTTTATAATAATCACCCAAAGAATCATATACAAAGAGTACGGGAAATCTGTCCACACACTAAAGACCAAAGAATCTGGATTCCATGATAATGTCCTGCACGAGTTCAGCTGAAGACCTAGAGCCCACGACAAGGTCTTACGCAGGTCTGTTTCACGGATCTGCACTGGGAAGGCCCAAAGGTCAGTGGTGGAAGCTAGAAAGTCTGCACCAGCGGGATGAAGGATTGTGCTAGCAGGCTGAGGGATCTGCACTGGAGCCAGGAAGTGATGCTCAAAGTAAGAACCAGAGTCGGGGAGGCGGCACCGCAGGGGTCAGAGGCACTGGTCCAGAGTTGTGTGCTGCAGCTTTCGGCCGGAGGGGGGCGCTGAGGACACGATGTCGGGGGCCTCCCGCCAGTTCCTTTAGGCCACCACCTGCCTGGCCGCGCTCTGCCTGCAGGTTGTGCTCTCTGTGGACCCCAGCGCCACCGTGACCCCAACCGGGACAGCAAACACGACTTCCATGCCCACCAAGATAGTCACCACACCAGCAGCGCCCACCCCTCCGACCACCGCCCGGGCACTGCAAACCTGTGAACACCGCAAAAGCTGTTCTTCCTGTTTTACTTCAAGTATTGCTGATATTACTTGCTATTGGATAGAGGGTAAAGAAGCAAATAAGAGCTACTGTTCTGATAATTCCACAGTTAGTAATTGCAGCATGGTGGACAACACTGCCTTGTGTTCTGTGCCTACTCCTACTGCTCCAGTGCCGACCAGTGCAACAGCTAAAACCACAACTCCGACTTCCCTTCTTCGGCCAGTTACCACAACAGGTGCAGCAAATACCACTGTGACTCCAACCTTAGGACCTGGCGGAAGTCTGCCTTTGATGCAGCCAGTTTCATTGGAGGAATTGTCCTTGTCTTGGGTATGCAGGCTGTGATTTTCTTTCTCTACAAATTGTGCAAATCTAAAGAACAAAATTACCGTACTCTGTAAATGAACATATTAAATTAACGAGGACTGGTAATTCATTTGTGTAACTCACTGAAACTAAAATACTATCTTTCAAGAAGTCCCACATGGAAGATGCTATTCCGGGATCTTTAAATTTACAAAGGATGCGTAGGATATTTTGGAGCAGCTTCCCTGAAGAAAAATCATTTAAACCATTTTGCTCAAAGGAATATTTATAAAATGTTCTGCATGAAAAAAATAAGAACCAGAGCTCCCCTGAAAAGTTCCACAGCCATCCTCAGCAGCAGTGAGGTCCCGAGCTCCTCCCATGATGAGGACAGCCGAGTTCCCATCAGGAAAGCCAGTGCAACAAGCTTCTCCAGGAGACTGAGCAGTCACCACCTTCCCCTCCAGAGCCAGGAAGCGAGGCTAAAAGTGAGGACCAGAGCTCCCCCAAAGTGAACCAAAGCCATTGTCAGTGACAACAAGGTCCCAAGCTCCTCAGACGATGAGAACAGCTGAGTTCATCAGGAAAGCCAGCATGACGAGCTCCTCCAAGAGAACCAACAGCTCCTTACAGCTTCTTCCAGCTCCCAACAGCCTCTCGACACTTCCCTAACTCATGTCACACACAGCCTTCCTGGAGACAGCACTGGAGCCCACAGGCTGAGCGCTCAGTCCCACAAAACTGTCCCCACTCCAGACCCGGTCACAACTCCAGGCTTCTGGAACTTCTGACCAACTGGCTACAAATTGGGGCTAACACGTCCCCCTCCTCAGGTTTGACTGATTTGTGAGAGCAGCGCACCGAACTCAGGGAAACACTATCCTCACCTTTACCAATTTCTTATGTGGGATTTTGTTGTTTCTGAGGCAGGATTTCACTGTGTAGCCCAGCTGGCCTTGGTGATCCTCCTGCTTTAGCCTCCTGAGTGCTGGGACTACACTGTCCTTTTGGTGTTTGTTTGCTTGTTGGTTTGTTGGTTTTTTGAGACAGGGTCTTGCTATGTAGCCCATGCTGGCTTTGAACTCACAGGGATCCTCCTGCCTCAGCCTCCAAAGTACTGGGATTATAGGTATGCACCCCCACCCCCACCTTCTTTGGGGTTTTTACAGCAACAGCGAGCACAAGCATGAGTGAAGTGTGCACAGCTGTGTTGAATATGGTCGGACAAAGAGTCTGGTCTAACACTACTACAGAACAAGGAACCCCAGCAAGGCTTGTATTTCAGATTCTTCAGCCCTCCTTCCTCGAGGACAGGGGGCCAGCCTGCTTCTGAAATGAGGGTCTTATCATTTACTATCAGAGGTGATGGATCACAAAACTCATGTATGGCCAGTGGCTCCAAAGCTGGAGAATACTGAGGTTTCCATGAATTGCCTTGGGTAACAGAAATTCTACTTCCTATGGCTTGTCATGGGGAGGGGTGTGGAAAGGAAAGAAGGTGAAAAACAAGACAGGCAGACAGACACACAGACCTTGCTTTCTGAAGCTTGCTCTGAGGCCTGCAGAGCTCCAAATTATTCTAGCCTGTTTGGAGATAATGAGGGCTGTGGTAGTAATGAGGCAGAACCGTGGGTGGACATAAGAACTATATTTATAGATCAAAGCATGCAGACACTGTGCTAAGCTGTCCTAAGATACCACTGCTTCCCACAACCATATTGTAAAGTAGGAATTATTTTGCAGGTACAGGAACTGAGGGGCCAAAAAGTTAAATGACTTGGCCAGGCATGGTGGGGTACTCCTATACTCCTAGAACTTGGAAGGCTGAAGCAGGAGTATTTCTGCAAGTTTGAGGTCAGCCTGGACTACAAAATGAATTCAAAGCCAGCCTGAACTGCACAGCGAAACCCTGTCTCAAAAAAGACAAAAAAAAAAAAAAAAAAAGTTAAGTGACTTGAAAAATTAAGATCTACCTGAGGCCACCCACTGGGCAGCAGAAGTAGAGATGCAAAACCAAGCCGTGAAGCCCCAACTTACTCAAAGTGTAAAGTATTGACTGCCCCTGCAACAACCATTTGCCACCTCTCCTGTCTTTCACAACCCACAAGCTAAGAAGGTCCCTCCTCCCAATCTGTGCAGCAATTCTTGTTACTATCAAGGGCCTCTCAGGACCTACTCACTGTTTTGCTGCTGATGTTCTTGTCACCCAGCTGTGAGGCAGGAGAGAAGGCTGCGAGGCTTCTTGTACCCCCGGGGTACTTTTCATGATCATCGAGCTCCCTTCAGAGTTCTTCTAGATAAGCAACTTCCGCCATACACTTTGGCGACCCTGTCATGGTATCAGTCCTCATAAGACTGCTCTTGGATGACACATTTTTGCCCATTCATGGTTTCTATCTGGAGTAAAGCAGACAGAGCTATGGTGCCTTCAGACCTGCAGGCCTCCCTGCTCCATGGCTTTCTCACCGCGCTTCCTCTGTGCCCCCAAAACTTGAGCCTGGAAACTTTTTTTGTTGTTGTTAAATGCACAATATATTTATTGGAGAAAGAAAGCTTCTGTCTGAGACAGAAGGGTCCTGAGTAGGTTGCTGAGGACCTTGCCTTTTCTAGGGATTTTTATAGAGCAAAACCACGAGGTGAGGCAGGTCCAAGGTGGGGGAAAATGGGAAATTAGAAGGTGGGCATGAGGTGGGATAAAACTATGCTCAACTGATAAGATAACGAGCATAACTGCTCAGGTAATATTGATTGAAGGGGAATCACATGGGAAGCAAGTCATGTAACAAGCGGGCATGAAACAGAACAGGGACTTTTCCTGGAGGGGGTGTCCCTGGAAGCATCCTTAGGGAGCCCTAGCTGACCTTCCACAGCCTAAACCAATTAACAACAAACACCAGGCACTAGGTTGAGATTCTCAGCAGAAACAGTCTGAACAGTCAGTGGCGTTGGGACCGGGTCAGTCATCTCTGGTGGCGGGGAATCCTGACAGCTAAGAGCCACCACTGGGAGCTCGGGGAACTCAAAGCGCATGTCTCTCTAGGAGAAGCAAGAGACAGGCAGCTCACACCTGGTGAGCTGGTGTCAGCTTCACACCATCCTGCATTCCTGGGCTCTTCTTTCCCAAGAGAGCCCATCACTTCCTGTACAGACCTCTGCTTTGACAGGGGTGCCAGGTCAGGTGGGCTGGGTGGGGTGAACTAGGGAAGGTTAAGTGACCAGGATGGGGGCACGTTGGTGTCGGGGGCGCTGAGGAGAATGAAGACAGATGAGCAAGATCAAAGTCAGGAAAATAAAAGTTTCACTGCCAAGTCCAAAGGTCAGGAGCAGAGTGGAAAATCGAATGCACAGCCAAGGTCAGGAGCCCGCAGAAGTGGAAAACTGGAAAGAGGCCAGGGCACAAAAGCAGGCAGGGCCCGGCGGCTGCTGAGAACGGCCTGGCATGCAGCCTGGCTTCAGCGACTCTTACCCAGGACTCCCACACAGAGGGTCACGCCAAGGCGACAGAGCTAAATTCAAGGGATATCACCAAGTGGGAATAAAGGAAACCGGGGTTTCTCAACCTAGGCCCAGCGCCCCTCTGCGGCTTACACAAGATTGTGTGCCTTTGTTCACGTCTCTAAGATCCGTAAGAGGAACAGCACCAGCAAACAGGTGATTTTAGGGCCTGAATGTTCAATCAGGCTGCCCTCGGCCTCCAGCGAGGTCGTGTGGGGCTGAGAGCCTCGGCCACCTTCCCAGCGCGCCCAACCCCTCCCTGGCGCGTCCGAGCTCCTGCAGGGCCGGAGCCTGGCAGAGGTGGGTTAGAAACAGTGGAGGATGGGCCGGGCGGAGGGGGATGAACGGGGCGAGCACGACTCGTGGCAATCGCAAGACGACTGATCAAATGTGAGCGCGAGGTCTGCCCGCGCCTTCACGATCTGCCAGTTTCCTTTCACTGGAAGCAAACCTATTCCTGTCCCATTTTTGGACGCAGACAGAGCTGGATCAGCACCAGCGCCTTTGTCCTGTCTCCTTCAGGGACGCGGAACTGCACCGAAGCACGCCCCGCCCCGTGACGTCATCACCGTCCCGCCCCTTGAGGGGCATGGCGCGCCGGTGTGACGTAGCGCGCACGTCAACGTCAGCACGCGCCGAGCCCGGAAAAGGCGCGGGCTGGGAGCGATTTCTGCGCTGCTGTGCGGCGCCTCCTTATCGATGGCGCTGTGGCGCGGCTCCGCCTGCGCGGGCTTCCTGGCGCTGGCCGTGGGCTGCCTCTTCGTACTGGAGCCGGAGCTGCCGGGCTCGGCGCTGCGCTCACTCTGGAGCTCGCTGCGGCTGGGACCCGCTCCACCGGGACCTCTGTCCCCCGAGAGCCGCCTGGCGGCCGCCTGGGACACACTGATCGTGCAGCCGGCCCGGCGCTGGCGCCGCGTGGCCGTGGGGTGAGTGCCCACGGGGCCTGGGTCTCTGGACTTCCCGGACAGTGCGGGCGCCCCAGGCCTCCAGGGTCCGCTTTACAGATCGGGCGACCGGGAAGTCGAGGCCCGCGGGGTCCCGGCGTTCCCGGGAGGCATCGGACGTCTGGGTTGAGGCTCTGTCGTGCGTGCTGCAGGGACTCGGCAGACCGCTCGTCCACTGCCCTTGTCATCCTTGTGCGATCAGCATGCGTAGTCTCCCGCGACCCTCCTCATGCCACCTTTCTGCTCGCACGTCCCGCCCCCAGCTTGCAGCCCCTGCCCCTCGGTGACTTCTTTGGCAGAGATGCTTCGGCTTTCTCCTGTCGACGCATTTTTCCTCTTGCTTCTGAACTTCCTGAAGATGAAATGGTGTCTTGTTTTCCATATGTTGACGCTGTCCAGCGTGCAGACCACCACTCTACTGAAACTCCTGATTTTCAAATTCACCCTTTTAGTTTGCAACTTTCCACGCGTTTAACACGCCCTTCTTAAAGCACTTTTCTTCCTCTGACTTCAGTGACACTGCATATTTAATGCTCTTACACATCACAGTGCCTCCTCTCTCTCTACTCCTCCCAGGAATGTCATTATTTCCCTTACACTAACTTTAGTCCCTGTCTCGGTTCCACTTAACTTTCGCGCCTAACTTCAAAAGCATTGTGCAAAAGCAGACCTGTCAAGTACCCTACCACTTCGTGTGAGTGTTGGGGCCAGGAGGGGTCAGACAGAGCAAAGTTATTCTGAAAACGGAACGAAATAAACCATGGTCCCTAACTAGCATAGTGTCCACACTCAAATGTTAGCTAATCAGCACATGCATTGGTCGAGATGTGTCTGCTTTTACGTCTTTCAAATTCAGGTTCTTTTCACTCACCTTATTAGATTAGTTGCCTTCCCTGGCATTATGCAAGTTCACACAACAAATGCCCATCGGCTGCGTAGTTCACTTAGGTCTGTGCGAGCTTCTGAGGACGCAGATACAGTGAAGCAAAGTCCCTGCGTCATTCACAAGAAAACGCATACAGTATATTCGTTATTGAAGTAGTCATCTTGGTCTCCTAGGACAGAGCACAGGCTGATGACTTCAACAATGGAAGAAATTTATATTCTCTTGGTTCCAGAGTCTGATAATCCAAAATCAGGGTGCTAGAGTGTTTGGGGGTTTTGCCTTTTTTTTTTTTTTTTTCTCATTATGTAGCCCATTCTGGCCTCAGACTCACAGCAATCCTCCTGCCTTAGCCTCCTGAATGCAGGGATGACAAGAATGCACTGCCATGCCTGGCTGGTGTGTTTGGTCAAGGCCTTTCTTCTAGCTTGCAGTTGGCCAGCTTCTCTGTGGGTCTGTGCACATGCCCCTCCTGTGTCTCTTCCTCTTATGTGGACACGGGTCCTGACCTCATTTTAACCTTCATTACTTTTGTGCCCAGGTGTAGTCACGTTGAGGGTTAGAGCTTCAAAACAGGACTTTCCATGGGGCAGGGGATGCAGTGTTTATTAAAGCTATGAAAAGTGCTTTGCTTTGTTTGAATGGTAAAAACAAAGTTGTCATGGTGACCCAAAGAAGGGTAACTAATTCTCCCCAGAACAGGACACCAGAAAAAGCCCCAGAAAGTCACTCTTGCCATGGAATAAATCACCCCAAAACTTAGCAGCTTAAAACAGTAGCCATTTTGTGATCTTTTGTTATTGAGAGTTTCTTGATTCTTTGTTTTTGTGGTACCATAGATTGCCAGGCAGGTTGTCTACCACTGACAGCTGTATCTCCAGCCTTTTTTAAAATTTTATTTTGAGACACAGTCTGGCTAAGCTGCCTGCTCAGGAGGCTGGTTGACTCGCCAGAGTTGTAGGATCCTTTAGAGACTCGGTCCCCTCAGGTCCTGGGTCCTTGTTGACCTTGGAGGACTAGGACCAAAATCCTGGCTGTTTTCTTAGCCCAGTTACCTTTTTAGCTTTGGTCTCTAACCCTTAGTTGTTGAACATCCAGGAGGTCAGTTACACCCGTGTCAGAGTGGGAGCCATAGATTTAACAATCTCATCTGAATATAGAGCATCTTGAAATATAAAGTATGGCCAGAGAACTTACTATTTTATTTTTTTTTTGTCAATCATGATTGTCGTAGAAGTCAAATTTCTGTAGAACGTTAACAGTTGCAAAGTTTTACTAGAACAGTTTAAAATCAAATCCCAGCACTGGCGAGGCTGAGGCAGGAGGATCCTTGCAAGTTCAAGGCCAACCTGGGCTACAAAGTGAGCTCAAAGATAGCCTGAACTGCATAGTGACACCCTGTCTCAAAAAGACAAAAAAAAAAAAATCAAAAGTAAAGATAGCATTTTAGCTTAACAATTATGGTGACATTATACTGGAACCATTTGGGTTTTTTAAAAATATATTTAAATTCCCATTTTAGTATAAAATAACCTTTTAGTCACCTTTATTTAGTCACCAATTATATAAACTAACTTTACCTAAATTTGTTACCTTCAAAAAACAGACTCTTTTTAAGTAGAATGTACTTATTTACAGATGTACGTTATAGATATTATTGCCCAGTCTTTAATTTTTAGAGTGGCATTGTCTGGATTATCTGGATTTAGGCACATGTAACTATCAAAATGCAACTGTGTAACACTCCGTAAACCTGAAAAGGTCCCTCATTGTGAACAACTTTAGTACGGAGGTCATCAGTATGATAAGGTGTCTTTTCAAGTTCTGCATCTTAGAGGATGTGTTGTACACTTGGGAAACACAAATGTATTTAATATACCATGATGTTAGTAATAATTTCTATCACAGCTATGTAGGCATCTTCATATATTTATGTAGTTTTTACTCTCAAGGTGAAATTTAGATTTTTTGAAAAACAGGTTTATAGGGTGTAACCACATTGTAACCGTATCTTTAGGCTGTTTACAAGTTGAGGAAACAGTGTTACCACAAATAGACTTATTCATATACAGGTGTCTCTCATTTATATAATAAAATGTTTGTTTAATCACCGCCAGTACATATAGATCAAGGTTTTGGTTTTGTGTTGTTTTTTGTAGGTACTGGGGATCGAACCCAGGGCCTGTGTATTCAAGACAAGAACTCTGCCACTGAGCCACATCCCCAGCCCTAGATCCAGTTTTAAATGGCAGGCAAACTTAAAAAGATGCCAAAATTTTTCATCATTTTATATACCTAAGGTCTAGGTGTCTGTTGTATAAAAGAATACTTACTAGCTACTTTACTTGTATCAAAGTTATGTAGTCTTAACTGTCAACTTCAAAGCTTAGGTTCACTGCGTATTTTGTTTTTATTTTTTAAGTTTTAGCTTGCACAAACTTACTAACATTTACATGTTTAATCTTCAATGTCCAGCTGCCTGCAGCAGATACTGCCTTTAGCCCTGTTTCCAGATTTCAGCCCATACAGTACTTTGGGAACACAGAATATTTTGTTCTTAGATGTATCTCTAGGCCCAGATGCTGTATAAGTCAAGTCATATACCTATTCACAACTAACACAGTAGTTGTTCATTTAACCAGTCACAGATTATTGAAAACATTTTACAAGCCAACGCTTAAATAATCTTTAACTCTTAAAACAATTTTTAGTAACCAAAAGCCTAATGATGGAAAACAAAAGAAATTCTTAGTAAACATAGAACTTTTCAGATTGTTTTAATCTAGTTTTATAAATTTAACCAAGAACATTTTAATATCTTTAAAATCTTAATATATATTAATAATTTATGAAAACAGTTACAAACCAGTGTATTTTATAAACCTTGAGCTTATAAATAATACTTGTAAGACTTGAACTTACCTTAGCAATCTGTGACTTAGATGTTATTAAGATTTATAAGGATGTGTACTTACTTAACTTAACCATTACTTTAGAAGACTCATGCAGGGGCCAGGAATATAATATAGCTCAGCAGCACAGTGCCTGTCTGGTAAACACAAGGTCCTGAGTTTGCTTCCCAGTACCAAAAAAAAAAAAAAGAGTCATGAGAACCAAATCTTGGTACAGTTGACATTTTTAAGCAATATATTTTTATTTTTTGAACCAAGAAAAGGTTACTGTACGTAGATAACAATAGACATTATATTTCATTTTTGTTTTTGTTTTTGGATTTCCAGAGACAGTATTTCACTATGTAATACAGGCTGGCCTTGAACTTGATTATGTAACCCAAGTTGGTCTCAAATTCACAGTGATCCTCCTGCCTCAGCCTACCAGTGCTGGGACTACAGGCGTGCACCACACGCCCAGTGATATATCCATTTTTTGCTGGAATATATATTTTATTATATACGATACATATTTCATGAATGTTTGAAAGCTAATGCACAGAAACATATTTACACAAAGCATGTATAACCTTTATGCTATCAAATTTTAAGGCCTTTATTGTAAGTTTTATGTAAACTTCAAGCTTATTCTGCAATATTTTAAGTTTGATGACTTTTTTTTGGTACCAGGAATCAAACCCAGGACCTTGCGCTTGCTAGGCAGGTGTTTGTGCCACTGAGCTATATCCCCAGCCCAATATTTTCAGTTTGAAAACCAATACTACAAGTGGTTTTCCACAGGAGGCCAAAAAAGTTTATACGGGCAACTTCCCTGTTAAAAAACTGTGGAGCGGGGAAAAAAAGATTTTTTAGAACTGGGCATGGTGGCGCACACCTGTAATCCCAGCACTAGGGAGGCTGAAGCAGGAGGATCATTTCAAGTTCAAGAGCAGCCTGGGCTACAAAGTGAGCTCAGGCCAACCTGAACTGCATAGCGAGACCCTGCCTCAAAAAGACAAAATAAAATTAAATTAAATCAAAAATGAAAAATAAAAGATTTTTTTAAAAATGAAGAACCTGCAGGTTATTTTAACCAACTATTAAAACGGATTAACAAACGGGAAAGCATACATAAAACAACTATTTTAAAGTGCAGTTTGAGATGTATTGGCCATACTCAAAATTCTGTTACCCTTGTGGGTTTATAA